GCGACTGGCGCAACGGTCTCACGGGCGACTGGAGCTGCTGGCTTCACGGCGGCCACCCCCTTCAACCTCCCCAAACTATCCCACTCCCCCTGACACACACCCGCTGCTACACCGCTAGCTCCACTCCCCCTTCACCCCCCCTTAGTACCACTCCAACGGCTCCAACAAGTCCACCCCCCCTCAGCGGCAGCTGCAGCACAGGGAGACGGAGGAGGAGGAGGAACAGGGAACGGCACTCAGTGGCTTCACCCCCATACCCCTCACCCCCAAACCCTAATTCAGGAGAACGGGCTGTAGGAGGGGTGGGGCGCCAGTAGAAGCACGGGGGACAGTGGGGAGGGCAGGGGCAGCGAGGAACGGGCCGCCCACGGGCCTGGCATAGCCGCCCGAACCGCGCGCAGGCGGCCCGAGCCGCGCGCGGGCCTGGCGCTTCCCGTACGGGCCGCGCGCGGGCCTGGCGCAGCCCGTACGGGCCGCGCGCAGGCCTGGCGCAGCCCGTACGGGCCGCACGCCGGCTGTACGGGCCGCGCGCAGGCCACGACGGGCGACGGGGGGCGACGCGCGGGTCCCCGTCGCCCGTCGCAGCGCCTCCCGGGGGCGACGCGTCGAGTGACGGGGCAGAAGCCCGCCGCGCGCCTCGGGGCGCACAGCGGGCAGAGAACCGCCGCGCGCCACGGGGCGCACGGCGGGCAGAAAACCGCCGCGCGCCTCGGGGCGCACGGCGGGAAGAAAAAACTGCCGCACGCCACGGGGCGTGCGGCACATAGAGTAGCAGCGGAAGTTGCAGCGGAAGCAACGAGGTGGTGAGCCCACCCACAGGATCGATCCAAAGGGATCGACCTGCTCTGATAGCATGTCAAGATAGTAAAGATAGTTAGGAGCCATAGCTAGGAGAGTCCTAGCTAGGCAAGAGAGTTTAGGCGAAAGAGGGGTTGCACTAGTAAGAATGGGGATACAAATAGCAAACCCTAGAAGGGTTGTACTCGCTATAGAGCACCCCACTACAGGCTAGAGCATAATATTCTGACACTTGTCCCAATCTCTCTTATTCGACTCCCCGTATGCTCGCAGTCCCCTCTTCAAAGTCTGGATCAGTAGCCTCTCCGTCAGCCCGTCACTCTGCGGGTGATACCCGGAAGTCAAACGATGCGGGATCAAGCAGGACTTTAGTAGTTCCTCGAATTCTCCCTGAAATTCTGTTCCCTGGTCCGTTAACACTTCTCCACATGCCCCAAATCGAGTCAGCACCTGCTCCTCAAACGCATCTGCCACCGCCAATGCGGTCTTGCTGGTCAAAGCCCGCACTTCCACCCACTTGCTCACATGTTCAATCATTACCACCACATACTTCCGTCCCCGCCTTGTCAGCGGTAGCTCCCCAGTCAGGTCAAGTGACCACCGATATCCCAGTCCCCGCCTTGTCAGCGGCAGCTCCCCGGCAGCTCCGCCTGACTCCGTTCGAACGTCGCGCGGTTCCTGGTGCATGGCTGACATTTTGCCACCCAATCCTTCACATCCCTCCGCATGCCCGCCCACCACCAGCCTGTCTGCAGCAACTGCTGCGTTCTCAAGGGCCCGTAGTGTCCCAGCCTGTTGTGGACCTCTTGTATTATGCCCTTCCTCTCCTTGGGCTCCGGCACCTGCTTCCACCCATCCTTGGTCTTGATCTGAATCTGTTCTTGATACCATCGGTAATGCTGCCCCCTGCTTCTGGCTCGTGCTGAGACCACTGTTCCCTCCAGTGGCCGCTCCAGAGATGGTGCTGATGGCAATAGCCCCAGACCTGGTTTTGTCACTCAAAAGGGAACAGCAGGCAGGAGCGTCCTTAGCTTACTCACACCCAATCAGCCTATCCTCCCTTCGACATGCGCTACTAGCTTGTTATGGCCTGAGATCTCAAGGTGGCTTCAAGCACTTCACATGAGAGTTATACATAACATACAAACATTGCAGAGTTGATGGCCCGTACCTCCTATATCCCTCCTAGCTCCTCCCCCTATTGCTACTCCTTGGATCCCCTGGAAGTGGTGGCCTCTTCTCCTCTGCGAAGAGCCAACCCTCCCGCCTCTTCCCACTGGCACTTAGCCGACCTGCTGCAGAACCTCCAGCTGGCTCCTGTCTCCCCAGCTGGCTCGGGCAGCCAACCTGCAGGAAAGCAAACATGCACACACATTCGCACGCACACGAAACAAAACAGCAAGGACTTCCAGCTGCCCATCCACTATCCCGTCCAGCCCTACCCACACCCCCGCTATTATCCCGCCACTCCGGCCGAACCACCCTCATCCATGCCACTGCCGTACGTAATATTGTGCACCCCCCAACTATATACAAATGTACAGTATGTACACCTCCTTCTTTTCACCTTATCATGCGACACGTTCCAATATCGCATTTGGCAAATCAAATGTACTTCGATACGGCTGTCAGACCTGGAAATAGCATCACCCACAGTGCCCCGTTCACGCTCCCCCCCACTCCCGCTCTTGTCCCTCCCTCGGCTATTCTGGCGGTGAGAGCTGCTTACATATATCTCCCCTTCGCTGCATTCACCATGTCTTGCCATTCCAATGAGTTCTCTCCTTCTCGCTCTCTCACACTCATAGCAACTTCGTCTCATCACGCCCTTCCGTTTCCAAACGACTACTAGAAGCGCGCTCTTCTCCTGAAATTTTCCGTCGCTGTCGCACTCAACCGTCCGAGCTAGCCTACTGCGGACGTCATCACGTGGTCAGCACGCAGCCTGGTTCCCCTCACTAACCCCGCGTCTCTCGCCATGGCGCTGTGCCGCGCGTCTCGTGCCGCACTTCAAGCCGGCCTCGCCGCAATCCTCGTGGTGGCCAGCCTCATTGCCGCAGTCTTTGTAACGCATCGACCTACCTTCCTGCCTAACAGCCTAACACTCCTAAGACACTCAGCGGTGCCGGTGGTGGTGAAGAAGGTGGCATGTCAGCGTCATCAACCGCTGCTGAGAGTGGCGAGAGTGGAAGAGGGAGGAGCTAGGAAATCTCAGCTGTATCCTGCAGAAGCTCCCCAAAGCCCTTTGCCTTATCACAATCTTTCCACATCACATTCTCAAGAAAATCAACATCTCGAGCAATGCGAATGCGCATGAGAGAAGGGTCCAGCATGCGCCAACCCTTGCTCTCCATGTCCACCCCAACACAAACACACATGACAGCGCGGGCATCAAGCTTGCCACCCTTCTCATGCCCATGCAATATGACACTCCCCATGCAACCCAAAACCCGAGCCATGCCCATACGAAGCTTTTGGCCGGACCACGCCTCCATTGGGGTGATGGAAGCAGGCAAAGCACTGTGGGTGACCCTGTTCTTAACCCACATGACCCTCATCAATGCTTCACCCCATAAACGAGCAGGGAGACCACTGTCAACCAACAATGTGTGGATCCCTTCTGCCATCGTCCTGGGCCACCTCTCCACCACCCCATTTTGATGCCAAACTCAGCCTTCCATGCTTTCACAGCATCCCCCAAGAACTCGCCACCCCCTATCTGAGTGAACAGCCCATTTCCGCCCACACTCCAACTCCACGTCCCTATGCCACTGACAAAGGACTTAAGCGACTGTAGCAGATTGCTTGTTGGGGAGTGGGAATGACCAAACCAGTCTGGTGAAATCGTCAATGAGACTCAGGACATACATATTTCCTCCCAGCGAATCATTGCGAACAGGCCCCCACAAGTCCATGTGGACCTCATCCAAAGGCCCAAGTGAGTGCGCGGGACGCCTGATGGGGAAACGGCTTTCGAGCCGACTTTCCCAATAAGCAAGGCTCGCACGGAGACCAGTCAGTGTTCCCCCCCCCCAAACCCCAAGCCCAGTACACTGTTCCCTCGACCCATCTGTTGCAGTGTGGTGAGGGCAGTGCGATCAAGTCGACGGTGGGCAAGGGTCGAAGGAGAAAGTGAGGATGATTCAGCTGCAAGAACACAGCCCTGTGTATCCCGAGGAAGAGGAAGAGACATCTGCACCAATCCATGGTCCCTTCCCCCTTCCTTTTCTCCAATTGCCAACACCCTTTTCCCTCATTTGATAACACATCTCTTGCCCTCGAATGACACAATAACATTCCAAGAGGTGAGGTGTGGGACTGACAGCAGACTCGTGTGCATCTCAAGCACAAGATGGACCTTTTGAATCCTCAGCAGCTGACCTCCAGCACAAACCACTAGCACCTCACCCATTTTCACCACCCGTCCATCTCCCAATCTAGCTTCCCGAATCTCAGGTGGCTCAAGCTTAACCTTATTTTCAGATGCATAAGGAGTGAAATTGTGGCTGGCCCCACTGTCAATCCACCACCCCTCTCGCGGCTGCTCCCCTCCTACTGTTGCAACTGCCTCACCAACAGCTACCTCTGCCTTGTCATCTTGCTCCTCCTCATCCGCCACCTGTGCCTTGCCGTTGGATCTACGACCCCCCCCCCCCCCCCCCCCCTTAAGAATGTCGGAATTCCTCCCTTAGGTCGGTGGGGACATCATTGTCATGCATGTCCCTTATCCCAACTGCCATGACACAACCCCTTAGGAGCCATGCCTTTGGACCCCCAAGGAAAATTAAGCACTCATGCTTTGCCTTTCCCCAGACCCCATCTCCCCGAGTTGGTACCCTATGTTGCGGAAGACGCGTCTAGCGTCTTAGACGCGTCCGTCTAGACGCAGCGTCTAAGACGCTAGACGCTAGATAGGCTGGATTAGACGAATTGCTAGACGAAAACCCGGGCAGGCCTAAAAAAAAAGTTCGGGCAGACCAAAAAAAGTTCTCAGGGGCATGGCGAGGATGGGGAACATGCACCTATGTCACAATGGGGTGTATTTTTCCCCACACCAGTTTTTTTTTCCCCCATTCTTAGTCTTCAAAAAAGTTATCACAAAGCATCATAAGTAGTTAACCTTCCATCCATGTCTCTCTAGTAGTAGCAAGCTCGAAATACAGTACTACTACTACAAATCTCAGCAGCAAACACTACGCCTCCTAGCTGTCGTCCTCCTCCTCCTCCTCCTCGTCCTCCTCCTCCTCCTCCTCCTCCCCCTCCCCTTCCTTCTCCAGCTCCTCCTGCGTCTGCCACTCATCGAGGCACACGTCGTCCTCGTCCGCCTCCATCTCCCCATCCTCCTCCAACTTGTACCCCTCAGGGAGGGGAGGGGGGGGGATGTTCCCCTCCACCACTGCACCCTTCCTTCCCACCACACTAGGCCCCGCTTCCGCATCCTTGTGGAATGTGTGCACAACGTTCCAGTTGTGCGCAACATACACAAGGTCGCGCACTTTCTCCGACCCGAGTCGGTTCCTGCGCGCCGTGTGCACGCCATCCCATGTAGACCAGCCCCGCTCGCACGGTGAAGCGGAAACGGGCTGGGACAGCGTGCGCCTCGCAATGCGAGCCAGGTGGGCGTACTCCCATCCATTGTACTGCCACCACAGCATCACGTTCCCCTTCCCCAGCTGAATATCCCCACGCCCCTCGATCGCTGTCTGCGTGCCGAACCCCCCATGGCCGTTGATGAAGGCCGTCACCCCCTCATGCAGCGGCTTCACCTGCCCCTTCTTGCCGCCGGACTTCTTCCAGTACTTCTCGACGAACGCCTTCTGTCGCTCCAACCACTCCTGCATCACCTTGGTGCACTCCCCATCCTGCAGGAAAATCCCCTCCTCCTGGTTTGCCGGGTACAAGATCCGGCCTGCCACGTGGAGGGGGCACGCCAGGCTCTCGTCCCACCGCTTCCTCAAATACTCCCGCACCTTATCCTTATCCGCCTTGGTCAGCTTGCACTCCTTCCCTTTCAGCAGCTTATCCAACTCCTCAGTCAGCTGCAGCATGATGTCGTACAGCTGGCCCATCATCCCCTTCGCCGCTGAATCCGTCCTCCTCATCACATTGTAGAACAGCTCCATCACAGATAAAAACATGTCCACCTTCTTCCACCACCCCTGGTCCATCACCCACCCCTCAAAATCCGCTCCCGTCACCTTGCTCCCCCCCTTCTCCGGCCAATCCTTGTGTGTCACCATTGCCGTGAGCTGCTGGCAAACGGCGCGCAGACGAGACACTGCGATGAACTGCGTTCCAAAGCGCGTGCCTGCCGGACGCAACACCTGCAGCGACTTCTTCTCGCCGTGCAGCTTCGGGTCGCGCAAGAAGGCGCGCGTCCACTGGTGCCCGCGCACGAAGTTGATCATGTTGTCCGCCTGGGTCACGACCACCTGCGCCCAATCCATCTTGCCGACGTCCTCCATCAGCAGGTCCATCACGTGCGTCGCGCAGGGAACGAGGTCAAGATGCGGCCACTCCTTCTGCAGCAGCTTGCCAGCCTTCTTGTAGTTGCTGCCGCCGTCCGTGCACAGCGCCACGACGTGTTCCGCCCCGATGCGCTCGATGATCGGCCGCAGTACGCTGGCGATGAACTTGCCACTCTTCGTCACCGCCTTGCAATCGACCGCCTCAACGAAAACCGCTCCAGTGTCGTTGATGCATATGACGTTCATCTGCGCGCGGCCGCTCTTGTCCTGCATCATGTCGCTGGCGATCGTCACGCCCGTCTCCGTCCACGACTTCGTAACCGGCGACAAAGCCTTCTCAATCTTCTGCTTGCACTTAAGCAGGCCGGCGCCTCCGACGTAGTGCCGTTTGGGGGGGACATAGCCCGAGCCGGCAGCGGTGACGGCTCGCAGCATGTTGAGGAAGAGCGGGTGCTCGCACTGCGCCTCCGACGTGCGCGTCCCCGCGAGGTAGAGGACAATCGCCTCGTCGGCCGCCCGCCTCGCCGCAAGTCCGCCCTCGCCGTAGAAGTCCTCCATGCGCCCGCGCTTCCCTTTCCCTCCCGCCTCGCTCGTGCTGCTCACCGCCGCGATCGCCGCACTTGTCGCCCGCGCCTTTTGGTTGCGCGCCCGAATCTTGGCTTCGAACATCTCGCAAATCTCCGATGAAATCTCCTTCGGCACCTTGTTGCAAACGACTCCCGCCTCGCGGCGCCGATGCGGGTCGTGCCACTCGGCGAGATGCTCGGGAGTGCGGCTACTACTAAACGAGAACTTCTTGTGGCAAAAAAGGCACTCGACTTGCTCGCCCTTCTTCTTCGGGTCCGAGAAAAAATAATAGTGCTTGTAGATCGGGTGCTCGGGAAACTTAGATTTCTTCTCAATACCCTCCATTTCCTTGGAAACACGAGCGGAAGAACCCTCGCCGACGGCATTCTCGCTCGCGGAGGAGGAACTACTAGACGAAGCGCCACTACCACTAGAAGAAGCCATAGTTGCTTGCGCGGAGGTAAGAGCTAAACCCTTAGGGTTTACGAAAGAGAATTGAAAGAAATGAAGGTTGGGGAGCACATGTGAGGGATTGGTGCTCCTCAACCTCTTGGTGGTTTACCATGAAGGTTGGGTTTTGTAGATAGTGAGTGGTGAAGAGTGGTAAGTGTTCAATTTGGGGTGGGGGGGCCTTCAAATTTGTTGGAGGACCTGTTTGTGGGGTCGAAATGGGTGGGGAGGGGTTTGAAAAACGCGAAATTGAATTTCGCGTCGAAATGGCGAAATTCAATTTCGCGCGCGGAAAAAAAAAAAATTTCGGGCTGCCCGCAAATTTTTTTGCCAAGCGTCTTGCGTCTAATTCTACGTCTTGCGTCTAGCGTCTAGACGCTGCGTCTAGACGCTAGACGCAAGACGCGTCTTGCGTCTTCCGCAACTTAGTTGGTACCGCTGCTGTTACCGCTGCCTCCATGTTTTCCTCCCTTGTCCCGATTTCCCTTGTCGTTGCTGCCCACTTTCGTACCCGCTCCAAAAGTGGCTACACCATCTGATCTTGGTGCGACACCAATCCGCATCTCCTCGCTCCTCTCGTCCTCCCGAACGGATCCACACGATTTCCAGCGGGTTTCTTCTCTCCTCCCCTCCCATGTCTAGAGTCCGCCACGATGCAATTTTGGCAGCCCTTCAGGAAGGATGGAAGCTAAATAGCTTCCACCAATGTATTATGGTCCAATGCCTTGAGTAGCTCATTTTCCAATAGATTGTTAGGCCTTCCTTGCTGTGATACCATGTTAAAATGGTGCAAAATACTATTGGAAACAATAGTAGTCTTAGAACCTCCTTTTAAAGCCTAGGAACCTTAGGAGCCAACTTGGGCATGAACCATGCTAGAACCAAGTGTGTTTTGAAGAAGTGAGTTGCAACAAGAGAGAACCCTAACCTATAGGGTTTGGGAGGTGGTCCGCTCCAAAGAGTGTACACCACAAGTTCTCCCAACCCAACAATTATATTCTACACTACTATAGTGTAGATCCAACACTATATATATGTTAATTAGACCCGAATTAACCATAACTCTAACAGCAACCTCCTCTAGCCCCTTCTTCCCAACCAAGCCCGAACTTAAGGGTGGTACCCCTTGGGCCCGGAGCCCCAGCTGCCCCCGCTAGCGATCTTGCTGCTGCCCCCTGTTGTTCCCTCTCCTCTCCCATACTCGCCGGCCTCTCCTGCCCCTGCTGACCCTCCTGATGCTACCTCTGTTGTCATCTCTCATCTCCCCTGATACCATGCCCCTCTTGCCCCTGCTGGCCCCGCCACTGCTGCTGCTGCTGCTGCTGCTGCCACTGTTGTCCTCCCTCCTCTCCCATACTATCTTGTCCCTGCTGACCCTCTTATTGCCGCCCTTGTTGACCTTGCGACTGCAGGTGTGTTGCACTTTAGCGAGTACATCCCGAGGGTCACGCGACGAACCTGTTCGGCCTAATTCGTCATACCGAATCACTCCCGAGTCGCCTCTGCACCAATCGCAACCATCACGAGCCATCTTCGCCTGACCTCCCCGGCTAGCTAGCATTTCCCCTATTCAGGCCTCGTCACTTTCAATGTATCTTCATTCTAAGTTCAACATTCTCGTTATTCGTTTTACTACGCATTCTGCAAGTTCATTCATAACACCTGGTATCAGAGCTACTTTCCTAGCCTATCCCACTTTTTAGAGTGTATTACCCCTCGAGAGGGAAGGGGGGGGGGGGGGGGGAGGAGGAAGGATGTCTTGGGGTCCAGGAGTTGCGTAGGCCGGCCAAGAGAACGGGTTAGTTGCTCTTCGCGGCCAAAATTTTACGGGGCACTCCTTCGGCACCGCCAGATCCTTGCCTCGAACGGTCGCGATCGACCGTGACCTCCGTTCCCCCGGGCAACGGACAGCAGTAGCTGTCGCGATGTTTAAGTGAGTAATTTCCGCTGCCATTTCCCGACGATTTTGAAGGTTGATTCGTGTAGCAGCTGGCATCATCGGACCTTCGTCGGCACCTGCACGAACTGCCTTGAATGTATCATCATGTGTGGCAACTGGCGTCGGCGGACCTGCGTCAACAGTTACGGGCATGCGTCAGCAAGGGTGACATTTTCGGAGCTTTTGTTGAGAAAAAACGACTGGGGGAACTTGCCAGGCGCAAATGGAATATTTACGTCCGAAAATATCGATGGCGAGAAGAGACGAAATGTGGACTGCCTAGCGAAGGTCAATTGCCGTCCCGGCCGACCTGAAGTGCAGTGGCTTTTACTGCATGGCGGGCTTGTCAACAAAGATTTTGGCAAGAGTGCACGTGGACAGACGGGATTTTCGGACCCGTCGACACTTACGGGCTGCAACAGACAACGACGTGGCTAAATCGCACTTAGCAGGAGTGGGGCGCAGATGTGAGGGCATATTGGGACTGAACACCCGAAAAACACTCGTTTGAAGGTGCGTGCCTAGAGTTGTTTGCCAGTTGTTCGACAGTTTCGAGATCGGTTTCCCCGTTCAAGGAAGCCGTTTTCGGGGACAGCCGCAACAGCCCACGATTAAACGGTGTTCAACGTGCCACCTAAACAATTTCGGAGTGTGGTACAGGCCGCCGGGACACGCGAAAAGAAATTGCCAGATGGCTAAGCGGGGGATGAAGAACGTTGTGGGGAGCAGATTAAAGCCGGTGGAACCGATCTGCGGCCCTACTTCGCCCGAACCTCACCATCCCCACCGATTACTGGTTCCGACTCATGCGGTTGACCTGATTCGGCTGAATAACGGGGGTGAATACGAGCCTACCCGACGCTGGTTGAAAGCACCTGGATTGGTGCCCGCTCGACAGCTGTACAGAAGAAGATTAAAAAAAAAAAAAAAAAGACAAAAAAAAGGGAGTAGCGGCCCTGTTCTGTTCTGATAAAAGTGGGCTGGGTGAAACAGCACGCAAAAATCGGGGTGCCGCACGGACAACACTGGTGCAGTTTGCTGGTTTCTTGTGGCCAGCGGCGATGCTGAGATCGGAAGCTGTGGAGTTTAATGGCGTGACGGGCGCGGTGGGCTGAAAAGCGGTTGTGCATGATTTCCTTTTAACTAAGGCTACCCCGACTCCAACAGTTTTTGCCCCTCCACCATAGCCGGGTTCTCGCGGGCAACATCGACAAAACCTTATCCGACAAAAGCGGACGCTGGGTGAACGGCGGGAAGCGGAATTGTCGGGGGGTGAAACGACCAAAATTATGAATCTGGGGGTGTTTCTTTGCTTCTTGGAGTGCAGTTGAGCCGTTGGGGGACTTCTCTTGAAGGTCACTTTTCGAAGTTGGCTGGCAAGAAACACAGCGGGAAGGATACCTAGGACCCCCGGTGTCTAAACGCACACCTCGGGAAATTCTTCCTAAAAAGGGAGCGTTCGAGCAGTCGTAGCTTCGGTGACTTACCGACTGGCAACGAGCGATGGGTGAAACATCTGCAAAGCGCCAGTGGGAGTTGCATGGTATTTTGTAAAGCATCATCGGCGGGAGCAGTCTCGACAACGGAGTCAACAACGTTGATGCCACTAGGATCCGTGAAAGTTGGTATCGGAATAACTCAGGGCAAGTCCCCGGTTCTCGATTGAACCCACATGCTGGGGTCGGGTAAACCGACGGAAACTACTGGTCACCAAGTGGGTGGCTAGAGTACGTCCAAGATTTTCGGAGGCGAGCTTCACCTGCAACTGCGGATTTACATTGGTGTTTTCGACCGACATTTACAGAGAATTTACGAGGATTTACCAGCTTTACGGCGAGGAGCACGAACATTCTCGTGGGATTTATTGGAGATGGTTAAACGCGCGCGACAATGACGTGAGGCAACAGCACGGGAACTTCACAGACTTTTTCAAGGATATGAATGACTTACGACAAACTGGAGGTGGCAGCAGCAACATTGGAAGGGGGGAGAGACAGCTGAAATTTTTTCATCTCTGCCCAGGAGTCATCGGCGAATTCCGACAAAGTGCTCGGCGAGTCTGGACAAAACCCCCAGAGGTACTGACGTCATCGGACACTAGTTCTGCGTTCGACAATATTTTTCGGAGTGACATTCGCTACGGTTACATCTTCGACGACCAACGCAAACGCTGGTCTTCAATTTCGCTGCCAATCGCCTTCGTTCTCTGTTTTCAACGACACTCGTAACACTCCCAATATTACGGCCAGAGAATTTGAGGATAAGATCACTCCGACTCTATTAGCGAGAAACCGCCCCACTCGACCCGCCCACGACAACTGCAATTACTTCGACCACGTCAGGTGCTGCTAGCTGCAGCTACTGAGGATATCACCTGATTATGGCAATGTGAAGACAAAAATGTTCAGTTCAAGCACTCGATCACTTTCGGTTCAGTTTTAGGGCTACAACTGCTGGTTCGCCCTTGAAGAATTTTGGTGCCGTAACACCTGCTTTTCGCCACCAATTTTCCACACCGACGCGTTTTCACCTGGATATCACCGCTCAACGCTTTTCTCACTGGGACATAACACCTGGTTCTGTTGGATTTTACTTCAAGGCACCTGCGGGAATTTTTTTGGCGTGTTTTCTCGGAGGGGGGGAGAAAGTGCGCTGCACTGTTCTTTCCTCGGCGATTTCTCGGCACCATTTCTGACTTTGTCAGAATGCAGCAGCACGACAAACGATCGCGATCACACCGACAAGATCAACGGTCCCTGCCCACGCGCGATTGCATTTGCGTCAGCTATTCTCTCCAAAATCGCATCTGCTTCGACCGTCAAATCTACTGCAATCGCATCTACGGCCCACATTCCAACTTTCAAATCCTTTTGGGCCAGTTCAACCGTGTCCGTCAGATCGACATCTGACTACATCAACGGCCTACATTCCAACCTCTATTTTTAATTTGTGAAGA